TTCCTCCACAGAGAACCCTGCTTTCAGCTGGGCACAGGGCTGCTCACATAAAGGCTCATTCCATCTGCCCTGGGCACTGATACAGCTGTCTGAGTGGATGCTGGCATGAAGAAGAGTTCACCAGGAGGAGCAGCTTCCTCCCTTTCCTCCTCCCTCACAGCTGGAGTAGGAGCATGGCAGGGAATCTGGGCCCCCGGCCCCACAGAACCCATTGCAGCCCGGGGGAGCCACTTCTGAGCCTGACTTTGGACTTGTTCATTACTCTTCCATTCTTACACCAAACAGTCACCTCTACCTTGGCGGTCCTGTCTGGCTTTTGATGTGCATGTCAGAAACAGTGAGCCATCTGCGGGTTTTCTGTTCCCTAATTACGTCAAGCAAGGACAAAGCAGGAAGTGAGACTGTGAAGTGGCCACCTAGTGGGTGGCTTCCAGGTAGTGGAAAGAGGAGTCAGCCAAGGGTCTGCTCTGGAGAGCTAGGCGACTCTGGACCTCAGCTTCCTCTCCTTTGAGCAACAGGAGGCAAGGCCGTTAACCACTACTTGCCTTTGTTCTCCAAAGTCCTCTTTATTTTACTGTGTTTCAGAGTTTTGTTGGAGGAGAGTCATGGTGGGGCACAAGGCACCACATCTGAGAGGGAAAATGGCTGTGAGATAACTTGACATTCAGCTAAACTCAAAGCATCACTCAAAGTCGGCACCAGACGAGATGCCTGCAGCATGGACAGAGGATACAGAAGCTCGTGACAACAGCCAGCAAGTGCCCTGACCCTGGCTCGAGCATGGTTTTGGCGGTGAACTAAACCAGGGGGCCTGAAGGCGATTCTGGGAAGTGTCTCTCCACAGGTGCTGTACGGGGGTGGCCACTTTCTAAACGAAAGCAGGAGGAAGAAGAGAAGAAGGCTGGAGATGAGGAGGAGAGGAGGACACATTTTACCAGCTCCCACATTTGAATGAAGGCATCAGGGGTGTGCGCGGGAAAGACGCTGGAATGGACAGGCACAGGCTACACAAGTCCTCTATTATGACAACCAGCCGGTAGCCAGAACTGGGTTGAACACAGGAAGATAGCAGGGATAAAATTAATCAAGTAAACTCTCTCTTAGGTAAAGCGATCTTCATCTTCAGATTTCAGAGGAATTCGTACGCCCAAGTCTTGCACTCTCTCAGGTACAAGACTAAGGGACCCAACATCCGTAGTAGTAGGTCCACTCGCTATGTTTGTTTCTAGCCCAGCAGCCACTTTTTTCCTTTGCTGCAAACGATACTCCAAGCTCACTGCGCAAATGCCAGGGAAAGTGACAAACAGCTGGTCTCATCACTCGTATCAGTGCCAACCGGCACTTCACGTCCAAATGGTGGCTGATGACTCAGCCTGTGCGGGTCCTGGCTTGTCTCCTCTTCCCCTTTCCTATCAGCCATTCTGCTCACACCTCAACCCACCCAAGTGGGCGAGCCAGCAGCACTCAGTTTTCCTCAGACAGCTGCCAGGCGAGTGGGCACCTTCTGTCACAGATCAAAAACACACGCCCGAAGGGCCAAGCCTTATTCTATGACCTAGGGATAGACTCTCTCGGTACTGGGCAGCATACAATTTTAGTTCCCTTCTTTCTAAATGTTATGGTTCCATTCCCACTGTCCCGAGCTAGAGGGCAGGAGCTCGTCCCCACCATGGTGGGACAGAAGGTAGTGTGCTTTTCTTTTAATAGTCAATGCTTAAGTTTTAATGACAGGCTGCTTCTCTCTGCATTGGGGGAGAGCTCTCTTGAGGAACCGTCTTCCAACTATGTGATTACTCGTTCTGCTAGAAGATGACTGTAATATCCATTAAAATCCAATCACAGAGCAAGCGGAGCAAAAGCTAATGTGGCGTTTTAAATTATGGTGTCAACTCATTCAACAGTTCCACACAGGCTCAGTGTTAGTCACGTGATAAGTCAACAATGAGATTTATATGAATTCTTAATTTAGATCTCTATCGGGCATGGCACTTTATGTGGTACAATTTGGGGGGTTTTATTTCCTGGGAGTCCCAGCAACAATACTAACAGACAACGGTCCTTCGTTTCCTAGAAATGGACATAAACGTTTTATCATTCTCTTAATTTAAACATGATATACCTGTTTATTCTGGCTCCAACTAAATGGGAAAGTAAAAATAAAATGAGGTATGTCTAGAACAGATGGTTAATGGGAAAATGTAAACATATAAAAACTTTTCTTTGTTGATTTATTGAAGAAACATTTAAATGTACTTCCATTAAATTAATCACAAATCAAATATGCATACAACCTCAATTTTGAAAACAGGTCTTCTTGCTAAGTAACCAAACCTTCATCAGTCCACTCACATAGGCGGGAGAAAGGAAGAGCTGCTGGTGGGATATACTAGTCCAAAATGCCTCTGAAAGTTAAGTACAGCTCTTAGGGCTACATATAGGGAAGCACACATGCATAGGTAGCTTTATCTCAGCGACAAAATCTTCTTTACAATCTCTCCTCTCCACTGCACATTCTGCAACGATTCTGCATCGCGGAGTGGTGCTGTCAGAAGACTATGCATGGCCAGCGTCCTGGGGTTCAGCATCCCAGTGCCCAGTTACTATGACAGGGAGCAGTGCCCTGTGCTAGCAGCACGTGAGAAGGCACTCACACCCCCACCCCCACCACAGGGCACCGGAAAAGGCCTTCCTGAGCCAGGTAAAAAGGTCATTTTTAACTTAGTAACTACCAGGAAAGAATGCCTACATAAATAAAATACATGGAACCAAAAAAGAGACTCTCACAAAAATATGAAAGTAAAAGAAGTAGGACAAATGCGTAGCAAAAAAGCATCAACTATGGACATTTTGGTTCTGAGCATTCTGCTGTGTATGCTTAATTGCGGTGACTTTTTCCTCTCAGCCCTAGGCCATGTTTTAAGGAGGAAAATATTTCCCTTTAGGTCACAGTGCCCACGAGCAGCACCTCGCTCACTCAAGCCAGCACCCCTACTCATTCCGCTGCTGGGGGCAAAGGCCAGCGGGCACCTGTTCTAGACTAAGCCCCAGCTCTCAGTACACCGGGGCCAGGCAGTGTTGAGGAGCCAGTGTGTGCACCCTCACGCCTACCACCCCTGTTCCATTTTGCCTACTTGCCATGAACACAGAACCTGCACCAGGAAAGCTCACCCACCTGCCTAGCCACTAGCCGTGGTTACCGTGGGGAGCAGGCCCAAGACTGCCTACGGGGGGCCAGAAACATCTGCTCCCTACATAAACTCAGACAAGCTTGAAGGGCGTGGCAATCGTGGAAACCATGATTTTGAGGACCACACCTTTTAACTGGCAGAAAGCCAAAGCAGGTGGATGACCTTGTCCAAACCTCATCACCTGATTTCTTAGAAGGGGGGTAAACGTAACAGCAACCTCCTAGTGTAAGGTAATGACAGTAACAAGAGCAACAGCTAATGAATATCCAAGTGCTTGCTAAGCCAAGAACAATCACAACAACTTTATGTGTAGTAAGTGAGCCAGGTAGGGAGCACAAAAAGCATGAAAAAAAATACTAGCCTTCATGTTACTTTGAAATTTTTGGCTCAGCAGAGGGTTGCCAGAGAGAACTCTGAACTTATTCTACAGGACAAGCCAGTCTCTTCTGCCTTCTAGAAGGGCAGTAGTCTTCTTTCCGCTCTGGGGCCGGGTGTTAAACGGCCCTTGATGCTCCTCCCTTGTGCAATATTCGATCCTGACACTGTTTCCCCAGCAATATTGTAAAACAGAAGTTCGGCCTATGATTCTCAACATCAAAACCCTTACAAAGACAAATAGCAAAAATGACTAGCAAGAAGAGCTTCTGTCCCCATCTGTCCTGTGGGTTTTCTTCTGTTGTTACTCCTTTGTTTTCTACGTCAAGTATTACTTGGTATCACTTGCTCTTATCTTAAAAGCTCATCTACGCCTCTCTCTTACCCAAATAGGAGCAGACTAAAAAAAAAAAAAAAAAAAAAGCTGTCTCTATCTTAGCTTGAGCAACTGATTTTAAAACTGTTGGGCTTTTTGTGTGTGCGATTTTTCCCTCCCAAACATAACCAGCAACGAAGGGAAACTTTGTACCTAAATCCTCCGAGGATATGTTTTGGAGGAAGTTTTCCATAACGTGCCCCTGAATCACTCTCCCTCTGCTATACACCAAGAGCAGACCCCCAGGCTGGGCCAGAGGAAAGAAGCCTCTCCCTGGGCTTGGGGGCCGGCACACCTTGAACCTGGTGCAGACCGGAAAACGCCTCGGCAGTGACATTAGGCCCACAGTAGGCACTTTTCCACCTCCCAAACCAGCGTTTTCCAGCTGTGCTCCTACCTCCACTTCCAAAGTGCCTTTCTCTGCCAAATGAAGGCAGGGCAGGGAAGAAAATAACATCACAAAAAGCTCAAATGAATACACCCACAGGAAATATTTGGCTAACTCTATCATAACCCAAGGTGCAGAAAGGTTGAAAAATGACTCCTCCCCAAACTTCAGAGCGAGAGGTAAGACGTCCAGCGCTCCCGACTGGGTAGGGTTCGGGAGCCCGCGCCCTCCTCCTGCGGCCAAGGCCACTGCTGGGCAGGAGGGGCCTGGGCGTTGGGTGCCGCAGAGCCAGAGCAGAGCCGCGCCCGCCGGCCCGCTACCCCCGACAGCCTTCTGAGCGCACGGACAGCGACTCTGAAGCGGCCGGGCCCCTGCCAGCCTCACACACGCTGCCGGCCTCGAGTGGGCTCACAGCCTTGCGCGGCCGCCAGGGAACGACGGGCACGGGGACCGGGCCAACGGAGAAGCACCGATGCTCATCCTCCAGGCGGGAGGGGGGCCCAGCCTCCGCCGCAAGCTCCACAGACGCCACGCTGTGGGCCACATCCTCCGCCTACCGGCGCCCACGCCGGGGGCTCCCTCCGACGGCAGCCGCGCCCAGAGGGGCCCCGGACCCCGCGGGCGGCGCAGCCCCCACCCCGCGCCCCGGCTCGGCTCCTAGCCCCGAGCCCACCTGCGGCGGCGGCGCGAGGCCGCTCCCGCTGCCGCCCGGGGCTCCTCGGCGCCGCCATGCGCGCCACGCGCTGTGAAGAGCGCGCAGCCTCCGTCCGTGGGTCCGTCCGGCGCGGGGCCGCCGGCTGCGCTTCCCCGACGACGCCGCGCGGGAGGGGCGGGGCGGGGCGGCCTCCGCGTCCCGCCCCGGAGACTGACTGACACGCAGGAGCGTTAATCAGAGGGCGGGGCGGAGCCCGTGGGCGGGGCTTCCGCGCGCCTTGGGCTCTCTGGCGGGCTGCGTGAGCGTCCGAGGTTCTGCAGCAGGGTTGAAACCTGCTCTCAGCGTTCAGGCTCTGCTCCTGGGGGAACATCCTGGTGTTTCTCCTGGAAGAGTCCTGCAGCCTCCCTGACACTTTACATCCAAAGCCCTTCGAGTGGGAAGCAACTGCAGGTGGAGGGTGGGCTGAGGGGGAGCTGGGCCGGTGTCTCTTTCCTGCCCAAGGCCAGGTGGCGAAATGGGTCCCTTCCCTCCCTCGTGCCTTAAAGCTGGTCAGTCACGGCCAGGGAGGGCGAGACTGGAACCCAGACGCAGCTGCATGTCCCGAGCCTGTTCCATTAGCTTGGGTAAATGTCCTAATCTGTCTTTCCCCTTGGGTCAGCAGAACTGGCTCGCACTTCCTTAGAACTCACAGTTTACTTTAGGAGCCAAATAAGTACATTACTGACGAACTCGGTCCTCTCATGAAATGGTTTATAAAAACGGAAAAATATGGGATCTGCTAACAGTCAAAAATAAACAACCCAACAATAAAAGACCCAAGACTTTTTGGCTCCTGATTTCCTAATCTGAGCCCCCCCCCCCCCGCTTTTTGTTTTAGAAGAAAAAGAAAGAAAATGAGAATCCTGGTGAGCACTTCCTCTTTCTCCAATACAAACAAAGCAATCCCAGAGACAAACAGCCTTGAATATGAAATGTTCTGGCCGCTTTTGAAAGAAAAGTTCCATAATTGAAGAAAGATGTGGAATGTTATGTGGCTTCAGCAGCCTTCGGGTAATGTCTACAAGTAATTGAATCATTTCCCTCCTTTCTTAGGTGTCAGGACCAAGGGTTAGAGGAGCAGGAGTCTTTGGTAACTCCAGCAAAATCCCGTAAAGGAGCAGCAGCAATTTAGGACAGCTGACTTCTGACCAGGTGCTTCGATATCCATCCTACCTGCGTCATTTCTTTTCATCCCCACCCTTGCCATGAGATAAGTACTGTTATTATTCCCAGTTTACGAATGAGGAAACTGAGGCCTATCAATCCTAGTTCGGGGTTTGAACTTGGGTCTGGCGTCTCAGCCAGCCGACCAGTCTGTAAACCGTGATTCACAGAAGATAATAAAAATGTTCTGAAACTGCTTCATGTTTATCTCATCTATCGATTCAGATAGTTAACATCGAGGGATAGTTTTCTGCAGCAATAGACTCTCACTTGCGTGTGTAGAGCTACATTACTCATACAAAATAAATGTCTTAAAATTGCTGAGCCTAATTAAACCTAAACAAGGTTCCAAGAGTGATGAGTACAAATTGTCTGTCCTAGAAACTGAAAATACCAAGAGTAATTTCTTGTAGTATAATAAAACAAAATTTACTTAAGTCTTTTAACCACAAAACAAATTAGCCAATTTCTCTTCCCACAAGATAGTACTTATGAACCCAGCTGTTTGGATTTAGCCTAAAATCCCTTCAGTTAATCTACATGTCGTGCTTGGCTCTAATGTTCATTGTTCCTCCAAAAGCTGAGAGGTCTGTGAGGGTGGCTATACCCAAGGCACATGGGCTGACATGAGTTATGTGATGTTTTTGTGTCTTAGCTTCCTCATCTGTAAAATGGAGCTCATGAGAGTATCTGTGGGTTTTTAAATGGAGACTAAGTGCCTGAATATTAGCAAAACCCTTAGAATAATGTTTAACACATAAACTTTGTACAAATATTAGCCAAAGATGTGACTATGCAGAGATTTGTGACTGGCTTTCTGGTCTACCCTTGTGTGATTTACCACATGTCTTAATGAGGATATTTATTAATTTATTTATTTGGTAGAGACAGTGAGCATGTTGGAAACAAGAACTTTGATCTAGAATCCTAGTACCTGCATAGCTCAGAGGTTGAATATAAATAGGTATGCTGAGACTATGGTGGGAGGCTAGCTAAAGACTGATCTCCACAAAGACCTTGGTAACAACTGCCAGGGCTGAAATGTTTACACAAATCACAGTTACAAAATACCTGCCTGACAACAATCAAAAACAAAGATAGTGCCTAGCACTGTGCCCAGAAGCCACCTGACTGTGACTCTGAAGAGTTCAGAATGAGGGGCCCCGTGCAGCAGCTACTCTAGTTAGTTATAGGGACACTTGTGTCCAAATGGAAGGAAGAAAGGAAAGGAAAGGCAGGCAAGCAAACTGGTCAGTAGTTTCTGGCAAGTATTTATTTAGAGGGTTTTTAAAATAATGTTTTCTTGGCCATTTGAACTCTGAAAATGGAATGTGAATATCCAGAACCATTGCAGATATTGCAAAATGTATTTTCCACTGTTATGTCAAACCCTTCCTTTTCTCAAGGGTCACTCACTCATATCCAGACCATCCTCAGGCTAGGACAAGTTGACTGTTGATTTAAGAACAGTGAAACCCATTGAACCTTGGTCTGGAAAATCATTATGATCTCATTCCTATTACAAGCTTCCTTGGTAGACTGACTAACATCCTCCTCTCACAGGAAGTGTGCAAAGGGAGACAGATAGGTCAGTTTCTGTAATTTGCTTACCAACAATGGTGCCCAGCACTTGGAGTGGATGTACTCAATATTCGTTGAATGAAAACATAAGTGAATGTGTGAGTCAAGGCAAGGATTTGACTTCCTATTGAGAATCAGTGAAAATTTTTAGATAGAATCATTTCCAGCTGTCCTTATCCAGATTCTTTGTGAGGCAAAATATGCACACATAAAACTTAACATCTTAACCACTCTTGAGGGTATAGTGGCATGAAGTGCCTTCAAAATGTTAGGCGCCCATCACCAACCACCCATTTCCAGAACATTTTTTATCTTTCCAAACAGAAAGTCTATACCCTGTGAACACTAACCCTTCGCTGCTTTCCTTCAAGCCCTGGGAAACCACCATTCTTTTTTCTATCTCTATGATTTTGACCATTCTAGATACCTCTCATGTCAGTGGAATCATACAGTATTTATTCTTTGTGGCTGGATTATTTTACTTAGATAATGTCTCCAAAGTTTATAAAGGTTATGGCATGTGTCAGAATTTCCTTCCTTTTAAAGGCTAAATAATATTCCATTGCATATACATACCACATCTTGTTCATTCACTTATCTGTCAATGGACACTTGGCTTGCTTCCACCCTGTGACTATTGTGAATCACGCCTCTATGAACCTGGGTGTACAAAAACATGTTTTCACTTCTATGGAGTTTATGCCCAGATCAGGATTATCAGATTATGTGGTCATTTTATATTTAACTTTTAAAGGAAATAGTATACTGCTCTCCTTACTGAAAAGCAATCCCTCCAGGAAAGTGTGAGGGCTCCAGTTTCTCCACATCTTCTCCTACACTTATTATTTGCATTGCTGGGGACTGAACCCAAGGCTTCACACGTTTTTGGACAAGTTCTCTACCACTGAGAGCCTATACTTTGATTTTCTGTTTTTGTTTTATAATAGCCAACCTAATCAATGTGAAGTGAAATCTCACTATTCTTTGGACTTGCATTCCTCTAATTATTAGTACAATCAAGGACCTTCTTATGTGCTTGTTAATCATTTGTCTAATTTCTTTGGAGAAATATCTTTGCGGATCTTTTGACCACTCATTGTCTTTAAAACAGTGTGCTATCATTGTTGATGTCCCTAAAAATTAGAATTTGAGAAGCCTTTATTTTTCTACTTCTGTTCTGCTTTGAATCTGATCATATGTTATTTCTTATTTACAAAAAGCCTGTGAATAACTACAAAACTTCATGTCCACATTGGTCAGGGCCATGTCTGTATTAGAGAACAGTATCTGGAGGTCAGCAGGTGATCATGATGATGATAGCACAGCTTAATTGAGCATTCGAGAAGTACCAGCCTCTACCTGTGTTCACTCACATAATCCTATAGCCCTATTGAAGCTGGGCACTATTATCCTTCCCAATAATAGATAAAGAAACAGAAGAACAAAAGGCCTAAAGTATATTGCTCTGGGTTATCCAGCAGGTAAGTGGCATTGAAGGATTCGAGCCCGGCTTCTAGAGACATATGGGAAGCATTCCCCAAATAAGTCACCTTCCGGGAGCTCAGCAGTTTCCCAAAGGCCACATATTTTTCTTCCTGGAGGACCAGTGACTAGAAGAAGCCCAGCCCACTTGCAACCTGCTGGTTTAGGCGGGGTGAGATGCCCAGGGCACATCACAGCCGCCAGGGGAGCAATTGCTACAAGTGGCCTCAGGCCAAGATCCAAGCCAGCATTTCATAAGCAGAGGTGAGAAACCCAGCTGGACCGGCAGGGTGGGGAAGCCATGGGTGAAGCCCACATAGGCTGAAAAGCCAGGCGGGGACTGAGAGGGGCCAACGTGCAAGGCACGGAGGGAGAAGCCCTGCTTCTGCCCAATGGGTGAGGACCGGAGTTCCTCTGACAGGGGCCTCTAACCCGTCCCACAGTTGAAAATAACATTATTAATAATAAAACAGACCTTGCAAGCGCAAAGTCCCAAGTTCCATCCCCAGTACCAAAAAAATTGTAAAATATGTTTTGAATTTTAATAATAAAATAATTATAAGAGGTGTTTTGAGTGTGTAGAATCATTGTCGGCTGAATCACAACACTCTTCTATTGGTCATTTACATCTTAGGGTCCAACATCTGCCTCTTTCTGAGATGCTGAAACCACAAGAGCCGATTAGAGGGGGTCGGGGAATAGCCTAGAGCCCCGAAGGGAACTCAAAAGTGGGGTGGTTGCCGGGGATTTGGCTCAGTGGTAGTGCTGCCTGCCTTACCACTGCAAGGTCCTGAGTTCGATTCCCCGTACCAAAAAAAAAAAAAAAAGAATCAAAGGTGGGGTGGGGTGTGTGTGTGTGTGTGTGTGCGCGCACAGAACTT